TCTCTCCCCCTCCCTCCCTCCTTCCCTCCCTTCCACTCTCTGTAAAAATCAATGGGAAAATATCCTGGGGTGAGGTTCAACAAAATCAAAGTGAGGTTAATAGTAGTAACGGCTTGATAAATCATAAAATATTTCTCCTAGCCCTCTCTATTTCTTGATTTTTTTCCAGAAAGTTATTTAAATTTTAAAAATCATATTTTGTCAATGTCAATCTGGGGGGGAAAAGCAGCAAAATCCATACTGAGATGTAAAAACACAATGCACTACCTATAAGGGTTTTGTTTTGTTTTTCCCCCTAAAGGAAATAAAAAGAATAGATGGCAAGGAAATGCTCTTGAATGAAACATGTATCTTTCATAGACAAGACAGAACAGATTTGCTATAGGTCTAACATATCACGCATGCCTGATGGTAGTCTTACATTCTTTGTTCAACTTAATTTAAAATAAATTGACTTATTATCACCTTCCCAGAGAAATAAAATATATGTCAAAAGGTTTCAAAAAGACATTTACTGCATAATTAAATCACCTTTAATGGCTGAATAAGAAAAAGGCAGCTAATTAGCTTGTGTCTGCAGAAAAATACTATGGAGACCACGTGGAAATGCAGTTTTATGATGAGCCCCAATTAGGTAGGAGCTAGAATCCAGCCAAGAGACAGACATATGCAAAGTGAACTCTGAAATTCCCTTGACTACAGCTCTGTCTTTGGCAGTGAAAAGCCTTTCTTAGGGACGGCATCTGAAGTTCTCGTGCATATCTAAAAGACAGCTTGATTGCTACCTGCCTAAACTGTCTCTAAATATATCTGCATGCAGAATTCATTCTATCCAATATCCTTAGCCCAATTTTTTACTGAAAAATTCCTGTTCCCAATGAAAGATATAAAGCTAATTTTAAATGTCACGTACATTGCCAAATGCATTTTAATACTTCCAAGATGAGATGAATAAATTACAAAGCTCTAAAGTCTTCATATAAAAACCATCTCTCCCTCCCACACATGCTTTTCTCTCCCTCCCTCCCCACCCTCCTTGGTTTAAAAAAAAACTGTAAGGTCAAAAGTCTTCTATAGGTCTCACTGGCTTAAATCAAGGTGTCCACGCCTGTCTCCTGGATTTTTAGCCTGCCACAAACTGATGGAGCAGAATGGGCTCAGGCACATTTACAATTTGAACTTTTACTGTGATGTAGAACACGGGCATTGCATGGAGTGACTTGATGAATGGGCTCCCCTTATTTCAGCCGATCCCAGAGGCATCCATCATAGTTCTTACATTCATTGCATCTCAAAGCATAAGCATAAATCATAACAAAGTACAAGGTTGCTGCTATTTACAAATATGGAAATGGCACCTTTTTTCTTTATTCTTCATCTGAGAGTCAAAACATTGCAGATGATTGGGGATTGGGGGGGTGGGGGGAGAGAGAGCGAGAGAGAGCGCAAGTAACCTATAGAAATAATAAATATGTAGCCATGACTTGTGTTCTATATTTACAAAATAATAAACAAAATAATTCTTACTGTGGATTTACGTCAGGGTTAATTTTTTTCAGTTCCATGATGTCTTCTATAGTTTTTTCAATAGCATCAGGGTGAACACTCACTGAAGTCTGCAACAGCTGGAAAACATGTTTCAATCATTTCCCTGGTCATGAATACCAGCGGCTTAAACAGGGTCTATTTAGGATCTATTTAGACAGGGGCTTCAGGTATTTGTTTAAAGCTTCTTTATGAAAATATTAAACTAAACTAAAAGCAAAAATTGATTTATTACTTGAATTCTAGTAAATTTGACATTTTCATGACAGGGGTAGTGCACTTTTTCCTTATTAAGGTAATAACATAAAACAGAAATAGTAAGGTTTTTTTTAAATCATTTTCATCTGTCTTAAACTACTTATTAAAATATTATATTTTCTTTTTCTCACTCAACATACCTGGTTTCCATTGTTACTGGGCATTATGTCTGTGATTGAATGAAGTACATGGGGGATATAGTCTTAAGGATACCAAAATTAAATAATATTCAAGAATCTTGAAAAAACAACAGATTTTCTCTGTTATGTGGATGCTTAACTATGTGCAATAAACACTGGAATAGTGGCTTTGATTTCCTTGGAAAATCTTGAGCATAAAGTTAAGTGATTTGGATATTAAGGAAACATCAGAGAATTCATGCTGCTCTTATTTTCAAGGAATTTTTATTTTGTGACTTGGGAAGGGGTATAAAAAAGATGAATTAGACAGTGAAGTAATAAGTGCACCTCACATTTGCCTAAACACTCACATATAGTGGCCACTTTTATGTTAAAAGTACAGGCAATTCTTTCTTCTCAATTTTTATTAGTTTTTATAGGCAATGGTATATTTCGTTTCTTCAAATTTTTACTTTTTGATGATAGACCTTAGCTTCCAAGTGAAAAGTTGTTGAAAAATATAGAAACAGTTTTACTTACCTTACTTTTTGAACCCCTCAATGATGTTTCTATAAAAGAGATAATTTAAAAAATCTTTCAAAAATTATCCTTTACAAGTGGTTTAAAGTACTATACTGAGATATAACGCGGTATCCTCAGTCCCACCACGCCTGCATTTCGCTTGCTTCTCTGTCTCACGCTTACCGATCTTCATGGTTCTAGAAGCTCCGGGCTTGGTGCTGTAACAGATCCGCTGCAGCTCACATCTCCCGGTCAGCTTCCTCATGACAAATTTCAGGCAGCGCCACAAAAACGTGCAGTAAAAATACAGGCACACCTGGATCAGCATTCTGTCAAAGACAAAACACAGCAGCCTTCCCTAGAGCTCTGGAAGAGAGCAGAGAGCAGCCACCACCAGCAAGGAAAGAAGCCCCGAAGAAAACAGCCATTAGACTTCTGGCTTTACAAGCTGGTCTCATTTTTCTAATCCCAAGTTATTTTATTTGAGGTAGCCTCAAACCCGCCTTTGGGAGGGAAGCCCAGGCCTGCGAGGACACACTTGCTATGACTGCAAAGCAACTCCAGGAAGTCCTATTCTAGTAAGTTGGATATTCCAACTCAGAGCAAGGCACTTAACATTTTAAAATAAATCAGTACCTTTAAAATAGTACCTAGAAGTTGTCTCTTCCTTAGACATTGGGAAAGAACTTGCCCTGGCAACTCTCCTCTCCTGCGGCTGGGGACAGCCTCTGGCTCGCCCTGGTTCATCCCCAGCCCATCCTTAGTGCCCCTGTGAGGCCACTATTTTATTTTATTCCTTCCTGTTTCCACTTTCTCCTTCCCTCTGCTCTCCTCTGGGGACTGCTGTCCTCCTTGAGGGCCTGGTTGTGTGGCTACCTGTCTTCTCTGCTGACCAATCCCAGCACTTCTTGCACTTGCCGGGGGGCTCCTCATCAGTTCCCTGAACAAGGGTGCTGACCTTTGGTTCTCCAACACCCTCTGATTTCAACCTTCCCCAAACTCTACTATGTGACAAGTCTGTTCTTGGCTACTGCTAAATAACTGCACACCCTATCTCACTCCAGTGGTACCTCACAGACTGTGAAGTATATCGTCACCAATCATGCACGTTTTCATGCGAATTTGTGTTTTATGCTGACTTTTATTTCTAATATGTCAGTGCCTACTACTTCGTGGTACCATTCAAAGTCTCAAAATGACTCAAGCTATAGAAATGAAGAGGACTTATAGCCAAAAACTTATATTCAACCCATCTTCTCTTAATACTATGCATAGTCCTAGTAGGCAGAATTATTTATATTACTTCCTATTGGTGTCATTTCTAAACGATGTTTCTTCTTCTGCAATATTCACTATTCCCCCCCAGCTCTAACATAAAGTGATCCAGGGTCATTCGGGTGAGTTAGAGTAGTTAACCAATAGCCTCAATGATGTGATTCATTCCTGAATGTGAACCAACACCTTGATAGTTTTCCTTTGTTCAAATTGCTCTGGCTCCAGTATCTTGAGCAGCTTGTGTTAAAAATAAAAATTCCAAAGGCTAACTTGAACAAAAGCATAGGATCTATATCATACAAAAGCAAAGGGGGTGGAGGAAACTGTAGAAATAATCAAACTGCTACACTAAGAACACAATGGAATCCTTTGTAGGCAATAAAATTAGGTTCTAGAATATCTAATAACATGAGAAAATGTCCATAATATGCTTATCAAATAAGAAGAAGAAAGGAATTGGTATGGGATGATCTATTTTTTATTTAAAAGTTAAACAAAAAATTTTTATGGTGATGTATAAACAAGAAGAAAAGAATGGCAAGATGCACAACAAAAATGTTAATGGTAGTATTTCTGGGTAATAAAATTATGAGTAATTTTTATTTTCTTTTTTGGTTAAGTATATTTTATTTTTTTCTATAATAAATATATGTAATTTAATTTTTATAAAAAAAAGTTACAACAATAATAAAAGTGTATAAAATGATCACCAGGGCCATTATTAAAGTGCATATAAAATTTCTACGGGAAGTCAGATTCTGCTAAAAGACAAAGAATGAATTTACTATGTTGTAAAGTCTGAAATCTAACTGTTTTAGTCAAATATGTTCCAAGATATATTAGGATTTAGGTTATCAGCTTCCAAAAAAAAAAAAAAAGTAATCCTAAAAATAAATTTAGTGGAACATTTTAATTAATTGAGGGAGAAATTTTATAAACCTCAACTTGCTCTCTTGGAAGAAGTTTTCCATTATTGCAACTACTGCCCCCCAAAAAAGATGAAGCACCATCTCTGTGAGCTGGTCACCAGCCAAATGGCAGTGATGTTAATTGCTGTTTGGCATTATTCCTGTTATTAAGTCAAGGAGAAAAAGCTTTCCGTGAGATCTATCCTTATGGTGTCATGTGCAGTTTCCAGTGAAGTCCGCCTGGCTGTGGGCCAGCTCCTCAAATGAAGCCTCTTCTAAGTCCGTGTCAGGTTCCTGTGGCACGAAGGCTTCCTAGAGGAGAGAGCTCTGACTACTGCTTAAGGTGCATCCCTGTATTCACAATACTCAGGGTACCAGCCACCAGACCATGTTATAGCTCGTGTTAAACTACAGAAAGCTTTCCCCGGACAACTCCTCCATCAGATCTACACAAAGCCGTGGCCTGAGGCTGGGAAGCGTCATCCCAGGTGGCAGGTCGTATCCAGATGTGCAGTGACTTATACCTCATCGGTAATTCCTCCCACTGGCCTCCCTGTATAGGAGAAGAATATGCCTGGGGAACTGTTTTGCAGCAAGACAGCCTTACATAAAAGGAGAGAAAAGGCACTGTATTCTATTTGCTTTGATATACATGTTTTCAACTCCTCTGAGGGTGCTGAAACTGTCAAAGTCAGGTAAACGCAGTGAAATCTGCAGTGAGGGGTCGGAGACGCTGCATCAGTTGTTAGGTCTCACGACTCTGTGAGGAGCACCACATCCCTCTCACGTAATCACATAAACAATATCACAAATCACGGAAGAGAGACGCCGATTTCAACTGTGAAGTGACATTTATTTACACACTGCTTCTCACTCTTTTGTAATTTCTGGGCCAGTAGTCCTGATAATGCTATTTACTATCAGTGATATATATATATTTTTTCTTGTTTTTCTAATGGGCCAGCATACTTACAAATATGTCATCAAAAGTCCAGTTTGCCATGCCAGGCACTGTATTTTCCTGCTATGCCAGAAACTATATTTTTTCAGGCCAGATCATCAGATCAAACAATGTTTTGACAGATATAATTTATTTTGCATTTAGATTGTAAACCTAAGGCATAGTCAGAGATGAAAACACCAGGGCTACCCCTCTCTTTGGAAGACTTATTTTGATAACAGGAACAGCCTGCTTCCTCATGAAAGGACCGGAGCAGCGAAACCTCCACATGAGCGTCTCAGAATGGCTGTTCTCCACCATCAAGTGCAGCCAGGAGCTCACTTCTTAAATTTCTGGATGTATTTAAGATTGTAAAGTTTATGGAAAAACTGCTGAAGGTCCAGAGGAGAACAGTAAACATAATTAAATATTTGTGAGAATGTTAAATTGGTTTGGCATGTCTACTTTCAAAAGGAAGATATTAAAGAAATGGATCTTTAAAAGCTCTTAAGCTAACTAGTGGTTAGTTAAGGAAGGAAGGAAGGAAGGAAGGAAGGAAGGAAGGAA